CATTTAGTCTGTTTTGTAAACCTTTATCTATTTACTCTTGGATCATATGAGCGAGACTAATATCCCTAGACAGTTGATTTACATGGTGGGCAGGGCAAAAAAGGGTAACAATTCCTATTAGTGCAGTGATTCTTGACATGAGAGCAAAGACACATGGCACATTTAAGGGCCTGGCACCGCGATGATTTGCCTAGCTTCTGAAAACTTTAACAGGCAATAAAACCTATGATGGTTGATGGACGATTGCACTTCCATTTTTAAGGAATGGGTTGAGGTCAAGGTTCAGTGAGGGTGTTCCACCCACTCATTTTCATGTGTGTTTTGTTGTTGTTGGAGTTGGTGATGAGAATATACCAGCAAAATATATACTAATTCAACAGTTTCTACCTGTATAATAATTTCAGTTGCTATTACCAATTTATCCCATACTTGTTATCAGTTGGTTCTGACTCGTAGTGAGCCTGTGTAAGATTTTTGGTGCGGCACTGTGGGAGAACGCTAGACTGAAAACCATAAGGTTGGCAGTTCAAACTCACCAGCTGCTCCTCAGAAACCCTATTAAGGCTTGCTGTGAGTCAGAACTGACTCAATGGCACTTAACAAAACTTAACACCATAGGGTCTTTGAGGTTATGTACCTTTGTCTTGGTGTGGTGCTACAGGATAAGCGCTGGACCTCAAGATTAGTTTGAACCACAAGGTGAACCATAAGGTCGGTGGTTCAAACTCACCAGCTGCTCCTTGGAAGCCCTATGCAGGGTTGCTATGGGTCAGAACCGACTCGACAGTACTTACCAACAACAATAACAAACTTACGATCATACACAGGAACCCAACAACAGCTATATTTGTGGGAGCAGAAAATCTCATCTTTCTCCCATAGAGCAACTAGTGGGCTCGAAATGCCAACCTTATAATCACAGCTCAGTTGTCATCCTATAGAGTCACTGTGTCCCCTTGATCCCAGAAGGATAGTTCTCATATAGACAACTCTTAAAGGCGCATAATGCTGAAGGCAAACACTTTTATCCATTCAGATAAACTATTGTTTGGTTTTAAAAGGACTTCAGTCGATATTTTTAGTATGAGGTTTAAGGATGATCTTAGAGCAGTAGTTTTAGGGTTTCATCCAGCCTCAGTAGCTCCAGACAGTCTGGAGTCCATGAGCATTTGAGATATGTTCCATCCACTTTTGAGATTTGGAAGGAATATTTTACTTTAAAGAAAGAAAGTGAACTTAAAGAATAGAATAATTCATATTTCAAAATTAACATCCATATCTCCTTCTGTGCTTTATTAAAAAACATACCAGGATTTATGAATATTGAATGTTCATTAGGTAAAGGGCAAGTTGGAGATCTATTTGTTAAAAAAAAAAAAAAAGAAAAGAAAAGGGATTTGGAATGCAAAAATTCTAATTCATATAATCGATTGTAAGAGCATCAAAGGGATTGAGGATGAAGCCACGTGTGCCGGAAATCATTGATTTCTGCTCTTACCGGTGACTTAACAGGTTGCTCTGTTAGCGTGTGTATAGGTTTCCTCCCATTGCTCCCCCTAGCCCTTTGATGCAGAAGCCACCTAGCTCTTACAGGAGAGGACCCTGAGCTGCAATGAGCTGACCCAGGTGGCTACCCAGGGAACAAACATGGCACATGACCCAGCCCTGTTTTTTTTGATGACTATGTGCATCCTGGTTTCATACTACCACACTGGGGCCCATGGCCTCTGCAACTTCTACTTTTTTTCCTAGAAAGTCTTTTCTTAGGTAGCTGTACTTCGGAAATCATTTTATCAGCAAGTATATACTGAAGTGAACTGGCCAAGAAAAGAATATTTGAAGGGGACCCATTCTTTAGCCCACAGGATAAAATGAGAGTCAGTCACTAGGGTGCCCCTCCCCAAACCATGGTGTTTTCAATCCTCACATATGCATGTGAAAAGTGGAGAGAGAATAAGGAAGGCCATAGATGGATAGATGCATTTGATTAGTCGTGTTGGAAATACTGAAAGTACCATGGACTGCTGGAAGAACTATTATGTGTTGGATGAAGTACAGCCAGAATGTTCCTTAGAAACAAGATGGCAAGACTTCATCTCTCATACTTTGGACAGATCGCCGGGAGGGACCAGTCTATAGAGAAGGACATAATGCT